CTGATGAGGATCTAATCAGGTTCTGATGATGTTCTGATCAGGTTCTGATGAGGATCTAATCCGGTTCTGATGAGGATCTAATCAGGTTCTGATGATGTTCTGATCAGGTTCTGATGAGGATCTAATCCGGTTCTGATGAGGATCTAATCAGGTTCTGATGAGGTTCTGATGATGTTGTGATCAGGTTCTGATGAGGATCTGATCAGGTTCTGATGAGGTTCTGATCAGGTTCTGATGAGGATCTGATGAGGTTCTGATCAGGTTCTGATGAGGATCTGATCAGGTTCTGATCAGGTTCTGATGAGGATCTGATGAGGTTCTGATCAGGTTCTGATGAGGTTCTGATCAGGTTCTGATGAGGATCTGATTAGGTTCTGATCAGGTTCTGATGAGGATCCGATTAGGTTCTGATGAGGTTCTGATCAGGTTCTGATGAGGTTCTGATCAGGTTCTCCTGGCTCCTCGGGTCCAGAACTGGATGGAATCCTTCACCATGTTCTGAGTTTCTGTCTCTGAGCTGTCAATCAGCAGCGTTCAGGTCCGGTTCTGTTCAGGTTCTGTTCAGGTTCTGTTCAGGTTCTGTTCAGGTTCTGGGAGGTCAGTGACCGTCTGCTGCAGCAGCCAGTTAGAGTTCAACCTCTGTCTGATGAACCAATCAGAGAGCAGGACCTCAGCTACAGCAGTCAGGTTTCACTCAGGAGGACGTTTCTACCTCAACTAACATCAGACACGACCAGAAACCAGAACCAGGTCCCCTCTGAGAACACCTGCTCTGGTTCTGGTGTCTTCAGAGGAACCAGAACCAGGTGTCCTCTGAAGACACCAGAACCAGGTATCCTAATGAGGAACCAGAACCCGGGTCCAGCAGAGACCAAAGCGCCCTCCAGGTGTGCTCCACCATCACTGGGAGGTCAGGATGGAGAAGAAGTCACCTGATCTGGAATCAGATGTTTGGAGGTTTGGACAGAAGACTGTCTTTCTAAAAGACCTTCTGTTGGAGGGACGGTCTCCCCGCAGGACGCCGTGGTTTCCTGAAGGTAGCGTATAATTCAGATGTTTCCCGGTTAGACCGGAACCAATTGACCTCTGGGCCCTAAAAGCAGCCGTTTGTCTGAGCGGCAGTGAAGGCATCAGCAGTTAGAAGGTGTGAGCCCCCCAGGGTTAGGAACGCTCCACGGTTCTCCTCCTAAACCCACCGTGTCTCTGCTCCTCAGTGGGCCTCACAGGAACCAAGCTGGGCTGCGCCGAGGGCGGCTGCGGCGCCTGCACCGTCATGCTGTCCAGATACCAGCCTCACAGCCAGCGGCTGCTGTATCCTTCCACCGCCCTGCTGAGGCGGCGTGCCTCGGCCGCCGTCATGTGCCTCCATATGACTTCTGAAGCTTTCAGCGTCACCAAACTGATTTCACAGCAGCTCAATGAGCGTTTGTCTTAACTTTGCTGAGTCATTACTCCGTCAACGCCTGCCTGGCCCCCCTGTGCTCCCTACACCTGGTGGCAGTGACAACCGTGGAGGGCATCGGTAGCGTGGCGAGGAAGCTACATCCTGTCCAGGTAAAGAACGATAACCTGTAGATGAAGGAAACCGCCCGACAGGCGGAACCTTCCAGAA